ACATGTTTGGTCAAATTTCGCATGCCATTGTTTGGGTGCTTGTTTTAGTCCATAAAGTGACTTGACAAGTTTACATACCTTCTTTCCTTTACCTAGAACTACAAACCCTTCAGGTTATTCCATGTAAATTTCTTCCTCCAAATCTCTATTTAAGAAGGTCGTTTTAACGTTCATTTGATAAATTTCAAGACCATATACCGCAGCTAATGCTACTAATGTTTGTATGGACGTAATTCTTGTAACTGGAGAGTATGTATCAAAATAGTCAAGACCTTCTCGTTGTCTATACCCTTTGACCATAAGTCTTGCCTTATATTTGTCAATAGTACCACCATCTTTCATTTTCCTCTTAAAAATCCATTTAGAACCCAATGGTTTATTGCCTGAAGGAAGATCAACCAATTCCCATGTATGGTTGTTCAGTATGGATTCTATTTCACTATTGACTGCCTCTTTCCAAAATAATGATTCCGAAGAAGACATAGCTTCTTTAAATGTTCGAGGCTCATTTTCCAATAAGAAAGTCACAAAATCTGGTCCAAATGAAGTAGACGTTCTTTGACGTTTACTACGTCTTGGATCCTTCTGATTATACATACTTTCTTTTGTCTTCTCCCGAGGTCGTTTAGATCCTTCACCAATCGACTCACATTCCTTTTTGTACGGATATATATTTTCAAAGAAATTAGCATTATTTGATTCTATAACCGTATTATTATGAATGTCGGTATTTTCTGATTTATGCACCAGAAAACGATATGCTTTACTATTGGTCGCATATCCTATGAAAATACAATCAACAGTTTTTGGTCTTATCTTTACCCTTTTGGGTTTAGGAACTTGCACGTTTGCCAAACACCCCCACACTTTAACATAATTCAAGTTGGGCTTCCTTCCTTTCCATTTTTCAAATGGAATGGATTGCATTTTGCTATGGGGTACTCGATTTAATATCTGATTAGCCGTAAGAATAGCTTCCCCCCACAAGTTCTGTGGCAAACCAGAACTTATCAACAAAGCGTTCATCAATTTATTTAATGATCGATTCTTTCTTTCCGCAATTCCATTGGATTGGGGCATGTAAGGGGTCGTTGTTTGATGAATAATTCCATATTCTAAACATATCTCTTCAAAATAAGATTCATATTCACCACCCCTATTGTATTGCTTGAATGCATCTATTGCTTCATCTTTACTATTAAGTAAGTAAACATAGCAATATCGAGTACTGTCATCAATAAAAGTTATGAAATACTTCTTTCCACCGTGAGATGGTATTGACTTCATGTCACAAATATCTGTATGAATTAAGTCTAAAGGATTTGAATTCCTTTCAACTGACTTATAAGGATGTTTAACATACTTATATTTCACACATATTTGACATTTTGATTTGTCGCATTCAAACTTAGGCAATACTTCCAAATTAATGATTTTTCGCAAGGTTTTATAATTGACATGTCCTAAACGTATATGCCATAAATCATTTGACTCAAGTAAGTAAGAAGAAGCTGAAATTTTATTATTGTCAACAACCATTATATTCAGCTTAAAAAGGCCCTCAGTAAGGCAACCTTTTTCCTAAGTACATCTCGTTCTTACTTATTACAACTTTGTCTGAAATAAAAACACACTTAAACTAGTTCTTGAAGAGAAGTGAAATAGAAACTAAGTTCTTCCATATTTCAGGAACATGACAAATGTTGTTCAGAGTCACCACCTTTCCAGAGGTCATCTTTAGGAATATCTTTCCATAACCTTCAATTTTGGCCGTTGCAGAATTTCCCATAAAAATGGTCTCGCCTGGTCCAGCGGGAGCATATGAAGAAAATGCTTCTCTAACAACACAAACATGGCGGGTGGCACCAGAATCAATCCACCACTCCTTAGGATTTCCCACTAAGTTGCATTCAGACAGCATAGCGCACAAGTCATCAATATCATCATTTGTTTGAACCATATTTGCTTGACCCTTTTTCTTCTCTTTCTTTGGAGCACGACATTCTGCAACTTTGTATCCAACCTTTCCACAGTTGTGGCAATTTTCCTTGAATTTCTTCTTGCTGGGATAGTTGTTTGGTCTAGAAGACTTCTTCCGCTTCTTCGGATTAGTTGGAGCAATTTCAACAATATTTGCTCCCATAATTGTTGAGTTTCCACGTGTCTTCTTTTCTTTAGCTTTATTGTCCTCTTCGATCCTCAATCGAACGATGAGATCTTCGAGTTTCATCTCCTTGTGCTTATGTTTCAAGTAATTCTTAAAGTCCCTTCATAAAGGAGGTAACTTCTCAATCATTTCTGTAACTTGAAATGCCTCATTGATGACCAAACCTTCAATAAAAAATTCATAATTAGTAGCAGAATTAATACTTTCAACATAAGCATTAATTCGGATTATACCTTCAGCAAGAAGATCATGAATGATAACTTGCAGCTCTTGAACTTGGGTAATGACAGGCTTGCTGTCTACCATCTTATAGTCCAAAAACCTGGCTGCAACGAACTTCTTCAAACTGGCATCCTCGATTTTATACTTTTTTTTCCAATGCCTCCCATAGTTCTTTCGAAGTTTTCACATTACTATAGACGTTGTAAAGATCATCCTCCAGTCCGCTAAGAATGTAATTCTTGCATAAGAAATCTGAGTGCTTCCATGCCTCAGTCACCATAAAATGTTCATTCTTAGGAGTTGATTCTGGCAGAACTGGAACGTCCTCTTTGATAAACTTCTGTAGACTCAAAGTAATCAAATAGAATAACATCTTTTGTTGCCACCGTTTGAAGTCAATCCCGAAAATTTTTTCGGGCTTTTCCGCCGGAGCCGATGGTGGCACGGAACGATTGGAAGAAGCAACATTGCTCGTAGAGCCAACCATAGGAGTTCCTGTTTCTGTCATTTCTGTTAATCACAAACCAGAAACAAAATTAATTAACAGTGAAGTATTTAAAATCTTCAAACCGAATAACTTTAACAGAAATAGATTACATACAACGGTGAAGATTTTATTTCTTCAAATCGAATACAAAAGGAGTAGAAAATTCGAAAATTTTAGTCTCCAAACTGAGTATAGAAATCGCTAGGATTTAGTCTCCTACAAACAAAATATTAGATGAATACAGAAAAATAAAATAAGTTCCTTAAACTTGTTAGAAATCTATATTCGAAAATATATTCAAAAGCAGTAGCAATGAAAAAAATCAGAAATGTAGAAGAACAGAAAATGAATCTGAGTCCACTGAATTCACAGTGTTTCCTTAAGGAACTTAATCCCCTCCCAGTGCCCGAGGTTTAGGATTATCTTCTCTCAGGATAGAACGGATAACCTCACTGGTGTAGCGGTACTTCAAACCCTAGTGATCAATGAACTCAAAGAGCAGTAGTAAATCCCACTTACTGCTTTTTTTTTTCCTGTTAAAACAATGCAGAAAGAATAAGGAGAAATCAAAATTTTCGTAAAGAAAATCTGAGGGAGAGTTCATGTATTTATAGCCAAAATACGTTGGCTATACTGAAGAGTTACAACTCTTCAGGTAAGGTTGCAACTCAAAATGGTTGTTTTATAAAACGTCCATTTATGCAAATCGCCAAATTCAAATTCAAATTATAAGCCGAAGCCGAAGTCGAGCGAGTGACGATAACGGTGCGAGGCTTGCCTTCTTCTCAACTCTTTAAGAGCTAGAAGAAGAGCAATTGTATATATACCCATCAAAAGTCTTTTCCTCCTCCAATATGAGACAATGTCCCTTGTCAAGGAGGGAAAATTAAATTTTTATTTTTCCCTCCATTTCCCATTCACTCTCTTTTAAGCTCTAAGAGGCTTAAACCTAACAGAGAGTTTCTCCTAGTCTTACCCTTATTATTAGTACTAGTCTTATATTTTCTTATTCTTAGGTTTTTGTTATTAGATGGTGTGTCATTCTTACCAGTAGTATCAGTACTATTCTTATATTTTCTTATTCCTAAATGTTTGTTATTACACGTTGTGCCATTTGCTTCCGTTATCCTATTGCCTTGTTGTTGCTATTGTTTATTGCTTTATTTTCACTATTACTTGAGCCTGAGGTCTATCGAAAACAACATCTCTATCTTCATAAATTAGGCGTAAGGTCTGCGTAAACGTTACCTTCCCCAAATTTCACTTATATGATTACACTAATATTGTTGTTGTTGTAAGAAATTGAACTGCGTATAGAATAATTTATGAGAACTTTAGACTGTGGTATAAAGTTTGTTCATAAGGTTGAATCCACACAAGTTCAATTCTGACTTTAGATGATGGTATAAAGCAGAAATTGCATGGCATGTCCCCACGCTCGGTCTTAGCGAAATGTGTCCGTTTTTACGGTCTTATTCCCGTTTTTGACTTGAAAATCATAATTCTTTAATATTTAAAGCTTGAAATTCTGGTTTGGTGGTGGAAAGTAGAAATTTAATGATCCAGTATTGTTAAAATCATTTGAATGTTAATAATTTATGCTTAAGTTTTTTGTTCAAATATCAATTTAGCAATTTCTTGTAAAAAGCTCAAAATTTCATTATTGGACCTTAAAAAATTTTGAAGAAGACCTTGGGTTATTTTGATTTGGTGTTATTTGACTAAATTGATAATTGTGGAGTGTTTGTGATGGTATTTGGAAGCTTTATTTTAAATTCAAGATCATTTGGAGCAGATTTGGTATGATTTGATCAAAATTGAAATTACAAATTCGAAAAATACTTTGTTACAACAATAAGAGAAAAATTATGACAATCAGATAGATTAACTACATATAGGTAGTCCAAATATAACATAACTCTAATAATCTGGTAGAGGAATCCTTGAAGAACAAAATCATACTAACGTGATATACTTTGATGAACAACTTAACCTATACTTAGCAATCGGTGTTTGCGGGCCCGGGGTCATTTCTTAAATATCACAAATTTTGGGGACCTCTATTCGTGTCAATCAACTCCGTGGCGCGTACACGCTATACCGTTCCAAATCCCTTCCTTCTCACTTCCTTCCTTTCTCTGTCGCCATGTCAACTAACTATAACTTCCCTTTCATTCCACATTTCTTCTCCCCCAATTCACCATCTCCTCATACATCTCTTTTCACCATTTCCTTACACCCTAAATTAATCTCCATCAAAATCCTTCTCTTCTCATTTCTCCAAACATGCATAACAACGACGTTAACTCTTCCTATTTCCAATATTACCAACCTCACATTCAGAACCCAAATCCTAGCTCCGATCATCCGCACAATCCCGCCGCCGTTCCCGACCAGTACGCGTCAGCTCCCCCGGTGCCGTCCGACTACTCCTCCGCCTACCCGCCATATTCTCACAGCTCCGCCGATCATTTCCCAACTGCAAACCCTAACACTCAACACCAACCTTACAATTATTACCCTTATAATCAAAATCAAGCGTCTCTCAGTTATGATTATAGTACACCCAATCCACCTAATTACAGTTCATCATATTCGTCCGCTCCTCATTCAATCGAAAATAATGGCTCGTATGGAGAACAAGGTTTTTATGGTTCTGGTGTTTGTAAATATAATAGTGGTAGGAAAGAGGAATCTTACAGTGAAAGTCGGTCTGAGTTGAATATGGGGGTGATGTTTGATGATTATGGTAGGCCTATCAATATTCAAAATGGGAGGGAGAATCAAGGACGCCCGAGTAGTCGTGAAGTTGTGAAAGCAACTCCGAAGATGGAGGAGCAACATGATGTTACAGCTGGTGTGTTGAAGTTCCGCGTCAAGCTTTTATCTGAAGGCGTAGGTCAGAGCGACATGGATGTGCTATGTCAGGTTAGAATGTAGCGTTATTAGTCTTTGCAGATATTTCATGAGCTTCAAAAGGGAAAATAGTTGCATTTTGAACTATTAATTTGGCATGCTTTAATCAATCGATTTATCTACTAGGCCTCAATTACAAACTAGTTAGAGTCGGCTATATGGATCCTCTTGTATCTAGTATTTAGGAACTCATTATAATTTAGCAGAACAAAGATATGTTGATAAAAAGAATTAACTACTTTTATGCCGACTATAGAGGTGGATCCAAGATTTGATGTTTATATGTTCCTTCAACGACTTCAGATTTATATAATAATAAATAAGTTCATAGTCAACTATTTTTAGATATTTAGTGGAGTTCTTAATACATACGGTGGGCTTGGCAAAAGCTACTGGGTTGCCATGAACCCATAGATTACATTGTAGATCTGCCTCTGGCTGACTTAATGCTTACTGCTCCCCTATTTCTTGGGACTGGCTATGCTAGGCCTGCTTATCACTGTTAATTTATTTATTTACCATTTCGCCAATTGTGTTTTCTAAGTTTTGCGTTGAAATTCAAATTCAGATTGGTCTAGATGGGATTCGCATACTTGATCCTGCTATGACCCGAACTCTGAGAATATATTTACTGGAGAATGTGACAAGATGGGAGGTAAGTTTGTCGATTTGATTGTATTAGTTCTGGTAATATGTTATTTCATTTGCATACAAGATGCCTGTGGAATAAGTTCATTTATTATCCTTTCTCTGTCAGATATTGGATTCATATATATTTGCGTTTTGGGCCAAAAGCTCTGTTGATGTGGAACCTAGACGTATCAGGCTGAAATCAAATAGCTATACAGTGAACAATATCCTGGACACTGTTACAGCAGCAAGTATTCAGGTTAAGAGATCTATTTACTCTTCAAATTTTGATATGTTCGTGTTGATAAATTCTTCGTTGAGATAGCTGCAATAATTTTAAGCCCTGGAGCTGGTGGAATGTGTCGAGTTACACAAGTTGTAGTCTTCTTTATCTGGCTTAACATCCTTTTTTTGTTTTGACGTAAACATAATCTGACTAAGGGATATCTGAACTGTTTTCGTACTAGTGTTAGAATTTATATATTGCTCTCAGGGCGTGTAGTTCATGCTGAACTAAAACTGAAATTCATAGGCATTGGCATTTTTCCACACTCTATGACTCCGGAGAAAGACCACAAGTGCTTTATCTAATAAGTGAGGAATTTACAAACTTCCTTTAGTTTCTTTTTACCATCATGGAAGATTTATAGTATTAGGGGTTATCAGCCATTTCTGCTACAGGAAGTCTTAGTCCAGATCAGTGGCGTGAGAGCTCTTTGAATCCAAGAGACGTAAATGGGTTTTAGCTATTCATTTTGGGATAAACAATTCTGGAGGATAGAGGCGGCCCTAATTGGTTTGTGAGACATATAGGAAGGTAGTGCCATGTTGAGGTGAAGTGAGGAAGGGTACAGGAGAGTGTTAAAATAGCTAAGAATATGATAGGACTAGGAAGGAGGGAATTATGGGGGTTGAAAGGAGAATTGATGGTTGAGTTTTTTGCTTGTTAGTATTTGGCAGCTTACGACATGAAGATACTCAAGAGGATAGCTAATTTAATTGGAGAGCAACATGGGGAATGGTCTATTTGATTGGTTCGGGATTGACTTGTCCCTGCGTTGAGAATTCAATATCAAGTTTAGGCTTGCCAAGTAGGAGCTTGAATGGTTCACTGTAGAAAGAGGAAATAAGAGAAAATGCAGTAGTTTCAAATTTGGAGAAGAATTATGCTTGGATACACATAGAAAAGAAAAGGGAACGGAGGATATGAGATCACAAAGCAACTAACGGATAGTCGGATTGCTGTATGGTCATCAATGAAATGACATCATTTTTAGAGGTGAAGAGCGCAAGACAATTTATTCAAGACAAAAGACTGGCTAAATGAGTCCAACATGAGTTAGCACAACCACGTTAGGAGATATGTAGTCGGGACCGATTAATGGGGCCGCTGGAAATAAAAAAAAGGTAAATGTAACCGGGATCTTTAAAATTACTTTATTGCAACAATTAAAGCCTTAGAATCTAAATTTGATACTGAGGCATTGAAAGTATTCGATTTTCCTATCATCATATGAGAAAATTTCTAGGCTTTAGGTTTGGCCAATAACATGGCATTGGAAAAGCACAAGAGATTTGGTTCCATCAGTAAAAAGGAGGTTGTGGTTGTCTTAAGTGGTTTCCATAACTTCCATGGACATGATAATTTGGTCTAGTAGGGATAACAAATTTTACTAATCCACAATTTTCTGTTTCCCTCCTACTAGCGAGTGGTGGACAAGGATCGGAAAAGTGGCCACCTGGCTCATCCCTCATATCTTTGAAACACCTTTGATCGTTTACTTCATTTTCATTTTAACTTGAATTAGATATTACTTTTCTTGCTGTTATTGTGTGATAGGAATTTTTTGGATGTGTGACTGTGGGAGTTTTTTTTTACTCCTCCCCAGGAGTTCCCCACTCGAACTCACAGCCTTAGGGTTGGATGTGGAGGGCATTTACCACTTGAGCAACCCCCTCTTGTCTATGACTGGGAGCTAATTGGAAAACGTACGCATATCTTAATGGGTGATGGTAACAGTAGAGGGCCGGTAGTGATGCCAGTGACTGAGCAGAGGGCGCGGATAGGTGGAAGGTTGCCCCCCAAAAAAAGCGCANCGCATATCTTAATGGGTGATGGTAACAGTAGAGGGCCGGTAGTGATGCCAGTGACTGAGCAGAGGGCGCGGATAGGTGGAGGGTTGCCCCCAAAAAAAGCGCCATCACCATCTTTTTCTTTGGTTTCTTTAAGGGTATAGAAATTGTACTTTTCATGTTATACTTG